CTCTGTACCAACCAAATGGAGTCATTGAAAGGGAAGACTGAGGGCTTAATGACTCCATCTCAACATCTTTAATAACAATAACAAGGTATTGGCCCTTGGTGCCCTGTTTAAATTGGTATTGGGGGGCTGTTCACCATCTTGCCCACAGGAGGAAGAGTCACTGGCATCCACTTGGTAAATCCCACCAAGATGACTAAGAACTTGGGCTGGTTCTCTGTGGCATGGCATTGGGTGGGTCAGTGCATCCATGCCCAAAATAGGGAGAGAAAGGGCCAAGGAGGCCACCACCAGAAGAACCTGTTTAAAGTAAATGGTCCCTGTGGTTAGTTGCATCTGAATGGATTTGTACACTTTTGATTGTTTTACTGATAATGCCCTATAAGTAGAAGGACTTACCTTTTGAGAATTTAGAAGGATTGTCTAGAATGAGTGACTTGGGCCCTGATGCCTAATAGGGCCAGAGAGGACTGTGCATTTTTATTGTCCCAGTGGACTACCAAAGTGGCATGGGGCCATTGTCTCTGCGAGGTGGGACGGGTCCTGGGGAGCTACCCATTTCCTGTGGTAGAGGCTTTGGTGGCTGCCAACCCTGGAGGTTAGAGAAGAGGGCAGAGGTCATTGAGGGGACTGGGTCAGAGTCAGGGGATAGATGGCAGCTGTGTGACAAGAGGATGGATGACCAAAGGGGCCTGTGGCTGGGAGAATGCTAGTATTAGGGCCTAGAGTTTAGAGACTGGCTGTCTAGATACTAAGTGACAGGAACGCTGAGATTTTGTAACTTCTAGGAGAGGTTAACCTGTGTATGTTCATAAGGGGCAAAATTAAGTTGGGGATTTTTTAGGGAGGGTGTGGGGAGCCCTTTTTGTTGAGGGAAATTTGCTCAAGGGGAAACCTTCTCTGGGACAGTGGGTGTGGAAAGGCATAGATCCGAAGTATCTGGGTGCCGGGATAGTAATCTCCTCTATGTCTAGCAACCATGTCAGGGGCCCCCCAATGCCTTTTAAAGGTTTCAGCAGTCCCATTAAAATGTAATAAGGCTGCTCTATAATTCGGGGGAGTGCCTTATGAGAAGAATTCTCTGGACTCAGGATCATTTGGGGCCTCCTCAGCTTTAGAAATGAAGAGGGAGTCATTTGGATCACTATGGTCATACAAATGATAAACATATTGTATTGGTCCATGCCAACTTGGTGCAGCAGGAAATGAGCCTAATCTAATATTTTCCATTCACTGTGAGCCTTGGCTTTAGTGATCTCTGTCATGAGAGGATGGGCACAGCACCAGGCAGTAGATATCCAGAGGAGGAGAGGGAGAGCCGTGCAAATGTCAGTGGGTCTGAGGGCCTCGGTCTTCGTTTATCTCTTCATCCTCATCAGTGGCTTCAATAATCCCGTCAGCTTTTCCTTTGGTAGCAGAGGCACCCCCTGAGACATGTTGCTTTGTCCTGCCCCCTTCAGAGGAAAGCCTAGGAGACTCAGGATCTGTGGTATGTCAGAGGAAACAGACATGTAGCCTGGATCGTTCTCTGAGCAGATTATAGATCCTCGGGTCCCTAGAGCTTCTGACCAGTTGCACATTTCAGCAGCTGTCACATTTTAGAGCACAGGCCAAAAATCTATGATAGCCAGTTAGCTCCCTTCTGTCCTTCCTCTGCACAAAATCTTAAAGGAAGGTTAGAATTTCAGTTAAGGCGTAATTTCTTACTGCAATTTTTACCTCCTGATTTTCTTTGTTACCATGATCTTACATGTTGTTACCAGAAGAAGTTTCTGGAAAATGTCCCTGTGAGTGCACTTCATGGGTGACCGACTTCCTTCCCAGGGTCCAGGATTAGGGTCTGCCTCCACTAGCACAGTATGTACAGGATCTTTGGGAAAGCCCGAGGCCTCCGGAGCACATACTGGAGCCTTAGCGTGTTGGTACACAGTGGCACTAAGCAACGTCCAGGAAGCTTTCACAGAAGTTTTGTATTTCTTAGGAGCTGGTATACCTTCTCTGGGGTCTTAGGAAGCTCTGGCTTAAGATATTCAGGACATTTTTTTTTTTTTTTTTGTCCATTAATTATTTAGCAACATCACACCAGGAACTGAACTCATGATATCCCATTGAGTTAGGGAGACAGAGCAACAGCAGGGAGCATGGTGGCCATGTGGGGACAGCAAGCCTCAGCTGTATTTCTCCTTTCGTGGTGCCATTAGTTTCCCATTGCAAGGCTCTTCTGTTCGTCTGGATTAGGACCCATAGTCCCACTATGACCCACCACTCAGTGGTCGCTGGGGCGTTCTCCCTCCTTACCTATTGGAATATCCTTTCCTCAGTACCATTAGCCCAAAGCCTCACCTGGGGCCATAATAACAGCCTTGGGATCCAGTCTACATACATTTGCTCTCCTGGGCTCAAGGCCTGCAGGACCCTCGTTTACACAGTAGTCATTAAAGGCCTTTATAATTAGTGGTCTAATCGTCTCAGTAGTCCATATGGCCTCTATCACGTTGGCTCTGGAAAGACTGAATTTTTATGGTAGCAGTGACATTTTAGGATAGATCCCACAGGCAACCCACAGCAGAGGCAATATGCAGAAGCACAGCCAGTGGGATGGGCCTCCAGCAAGTGGTGCTGCATTCCCAAATGGTGTGTGTCACCTGTGTAGGTTAGCCACTTAAAGTTAGTGAGATAGTGGAAGCCAAAGACATTCCCTGCAGTTAACTGCAAGCGCTATCAGGCAGTCCTGCTGACTGTACCTTCTGCCGGGCTGTTTCAGTCGCAGCCTGTTGATAGTGGTGCTAGCAGTTAGGAATGCCTGGGGGCACCTGCCGAGTCTGTACTACTTATGGCGAGCTCCTACAGACGTTTCCCTGACCTGAGTCCGTTTTGCGGCTGGACTGGCCTTCTTACAGTTGCAGGATGCACCTCAGCAACAACCATCAGGGAACTTCGAAAAACAAGATTTTACAGCCTACAAGTCCTGGAGGGTGTGTGGCACTCTGAGGTCTCGGTTAGGGAGAGGGGAAGAGAGCGTGGCCCTTGGAAGAAGGGTGAAGTTCCTGGGGCTGGGAGTTCATTCTTTATTGGCAAATAAGAGCAGAAATTAGGGAGTGGGAAGGGAGAAACAGGGTCACTCAAGTGGTCAGTTATCCGAGTTACCCAGAGCTTTCTAAAAAGGAAACTTCGTGTGTGGCAGTGGCCTGGTGCTTTGTCTGGTTGATTTGCCTCTAGCTTTGGCATACAACCTGCAGTGTGTTTATGTGAGGCGTAAGTGTCTCTGCAAAATGGTGCCTTGGCAATCAAGAGCTTAATGTCCGGCACGGGTGCCACATTTACAGAACCACTTGGGAAGAGTACGTGTCTGTGCTTACCAAACCTGAATATGCATATAAATCCATGACCCAGCAGTTCCTCTCCTGGGTATATCCCCAAAATAAATTAGTGCACAGATGCACCGAGAGAAATACATGGGAATATTTATAGCATTATTAGCAGTTGTCCAAGAGTAGAAACAACACGAATATCCAGAATAGACCAAATAAATACATTATGAGAAATGGTCACTTACAGAATGCCGTACATGCCAGCTGTACACACAGCAACATGGGTGGCTCTCCTACGAAGCATAATGACGTAGCAGAGTAGCCAAACTCACATATATCCTATGTGATTCTGTTTATTTATGAAGCCTAAAAACTGGCAAAACGAAGCAATACTATTTGCCAAGGGATACCAGAATAGTAAAAGTGTAAAGAAAAACAAGAAAATAATTAGCTTGAAAGGCAAAAGAGTGGTTAATTTGGAGGGGGAAGAGATGTGCTAAGTCTGGGCTTTCTTGGGTTGAAGCAACAATGTATTTCTAGACAGAGGATGGTCACATAGACGTTGGCTTTCTGATGCATTAAAGTGGATTTGTGATTTGTATATTTTTCTACATGTTTTTTACCAAGAAAAGATTTTTTTAAAGAATACATCTAGGTAAAACAAAAGTATTAAAACCTGCTTAAGGGCAGCCCAGGTAGCTCAGCAGTTTAGCACCCCCTTCGGCCCAGGATATGATCCTGGAGTCCCAGGATCAAGTCCCGCATCAGGCTCCGTCCATGGAGCCTGCTTCCCCCTCTGCCTGTGTGTCTGCGCCTCTCTCTCTCTCTCTCTCTCTCTCTCTCTCTCTCTCTCTCTCTCTCCCTCTCTCTGTGTCTCTCATGAATAAATAAATAAAATCTTAAAAAAAAAAACCTGCTTAAGAAGGACATGTACAAATTTAGATTAGCTTATCTCTGGGCAAAGAAGGGAATATGATGGTGCTGACATCTAGAGCTATATACTATTTTGTGCCTTTTCAAAAAGAAATCATCTGAAACAAAGATGGCAAAATAATAACACCTTTAGTCTGGGTGGTATGTGCATGGGTATCTTATTTCTGGTGCATTTCTGCATGCTTATTTTTCATAATAAAAACATAAATTTAGAGGTACCTGGGTAGCTCACTTGGCTAAGCAGCCCACTCTTGGTTTTGGCTCAGGTCATGATTTTAGGGTTGTGGTATCAAGCCCCATGTCGATGTTGGGCTCTGTGCTCAGCAGGGAGCCTGCTTGGGATTCTCTCTCTCCCTCTCCCTCTGCCCCTTCCCCCTTCGTGTGCTGTCTCTCTTTTTCTAAAATAAATAAATTTAAAAGTAGGCAGGATAGGGGATCCCTGGGTGGCTCAGCGGTTTGGCGCCTGCCTTTGGCCCAGGGCACGATCCTGGACTCCTGGGATCGAGTCCTGGGTCAGACTCCCAGCATGGAGCCTGCTTCTCCCTCCTCCTGTGTCTCTGCCTCCCCCTTCTCTCATTCATAAATAAATAAATAAATAAATAAATAAATAAATAAATAAATAAATAAATAAATAAATAAATCTATCTTTAAAAATAGATTAAAAATAAAAATAGGCAGGATATTTTTTAAAAGGTAAGGGAGTTGGAGACAAAAATTAGGTATGTCATATATATGAGCACTGTATTTTTTGTCCCTCAGGTACCTGAAGCTCTTCACTTTTCTGCCCCTTCCAGAGATTGACCACATAATGCAGCTACACGACAAAGAGCCAGAAAAGCGGGGTCCTCAGAAACGACTTGCTGCCGAAGTTACAAAGCTTGTTCATGGACAAGAAGGGCTGGATTCTGCTAAAAGGTGGCCTTTTAGAATAGCACTGGATAAAGTCATGTAGTTAATAGGTGTGAGAAAATTCATTCGGGTTATCTTGTCACTTACCACTAACAAGGATTGTCAGTGTTCGACTTAGGTGTTTTAGAATAGCCTCTGTTGGAAAGAAAAATCACCTTGAGTGAAGTGTGAATCATACAAGATAAACGGTGCTGTTTCAGAACTGGCTATTAGGACGTGTTTGTGGACAGGCACTCACATGACGTGGTTCTCAATGTGTTTTTCAGGTGTACACAAGCGCTCTATCACAGTAGCATAGATGCACTGGAGGTCATGTCGGATCAAGAGTTAAAAGAGTTGTTTAAAGAAGCATCATTTTCTGAATTAGTTCTTGACCCAGGAACAAGTGTCCTAGATATATGCCGCAAAGCAAATGCCATTCCAGACGGCCCCCGGGGGTAAGATTATTTAACTTCTAGTCACGGTTAACTCAACATTAAATCTTCACAGCGTATGTTTCCCGAGGGTGTTTTCCTGATAGTAACATAATGGTATCTCCTTCCTGGCAGAAGTTGGGTTAGTCCAAGAATAAAGTAAAAACTGACTTATGGTTGAAAATACCATAAATTTTCAATAAAATCCAGTCCAACTCTCCTGTCTCTCAATAAGTCGAACTCCTTTTTCCCTCCAGCAGGCCTGTATTGAAGAGACCCCTGTGGTTAGTAAATGCACTGCAATTAGTCAGCTCAGGGATGGTCACAATTTGAGATCAAAAGGGAACAGATTTGGGCAGCCCGGGTGGCTCAGCGGTTTAGCGCCGCCTTCACCCTAGGGCCGGATCCTGGAGACCCGGGATCAAGTCCCACGTCAGGCTCCCTGCATGGAGCCTGTTTCTCCCTCTGCCTCTTTCTGCTCCCCTCCCCCCTCTCTCATGAATAAATAAAATCTTTAATAAAAAAAAAGTGAACAGATTCACATGACTCCTCTCATATTCAGTCTACATGGTATTTTAGGGAGTCGAGGCATTGCCCAACCTATTTAAAATAGTAGTTAAATTTCTGAAAATGAAGCAAGCATATGATGTTACTTCCTAAGACTAGTATTATAAATTACATACTATTCCTGTTGAGAATTCCAGTTTTCTTATTTAAGAAGTAGGTAGGATGTTTGTAGAATAGTAGTATGAGGGAATAAAGTATTCTACAAAAAGGTAATCTGGCATATACTTGATGCTTATGCACTTAGAAACAGGGACCTAGAAGGAAAAGCATTAGTTAGCCAGACAACTGGGTGCTGCATCTTCTGGAGTTTGAGCATAAGTCAAATGCTTGTGAGCCCATATTCATGATTTTTTTTTTTTTTTTTTTTTTTTTTAGATTTCATTTCATTCATGAGAGACACAGAACGAGAGAGAGAGAGAGGGAGAGAGAGAGAGAGGCAGAGACACAGGCAGAGGGAGAAGCAGGCTCCATGCAGGGAGTCTGACGTGGGACTCGATCCCGGGACTCCAGGATCACGTCCTGGGCTGAAGGTGGCGCTAAACCGCTGAGCCACCTGGGCTGCCCCCATATTCATGATTATAAATGACATTTGTTATAGTTGCTGTTTTTTTCCCCTTGTTTTGGATTATTTGCCTTTATCCTAAAGAGCCCTAGAGTATTCTATATAGAGAAAATATGCATTGTCTTTGTATCACCTGCCATTCTACCTTATAGATTCCCTAATATGTTCATTTAATGTACACTGAATTAGGGGTGGCACCATATACCTCCACACCGTGAGTCACTGGTTCTAAGAATTTTTCTTACTATAGAAGTAGAAGCATTTTTTATTTTCTTCTGACCTTTTCTAGTGGTTTATATTTATTTACTGATTGGAAATTTTGCCACAACTTAAGATGTCACCATATCCAATTTAGAGTTCTTAATACTGACATTTTTTAATTTTTAGATTGTATAAGCTAAATAAGATTGGTTTGTGCATTTAAACAAAATGTAGAACATGGTCTGGAAACTATAGCAAATAGCCCAAAATAACACATTCTGAGAGAAAGAAATCCGTCCTTAAAAAGAACATGTTTTACGGTTGAGTTTCATAAAACCATGTGTAGTAGCAGTTTCTTGATGTCGTTTGGTAACATTCAGATAAGAGAAAATGAACATTTGCTTTTCACAAGGGCTTCCAAGGCCTTTCATGTTCTAGACCTCTTTTCTTGAGTTCACTTCTTTCTAGCTATTCCCCAGGTTTCCTCGCCCTGTTTGTGGGAATAACTGCTCCTCCCCCTCCCAGTTTCCATGTGTCTTCTTTCAAGAAGATTCCCTACCCCACCAACCCAGTGTGCACCCAGAGCAGCCTTTCCTAGCGCTTGCTAGCATTGAGTCACTGTGCCATTGTTTGTCTGGCTCTCCACTGGTTTGCAGTACTGTTTGTATGTAGTGCCTAGTCAAGGCTCTAGAAATGTTGTTTGAATGGACTGGGCAATAAATAAAACCTGTTCACATAAACCATGAGAAAATTGTTATTAAACTGGAATTAGATAAGCTATTGATTTTCCATTTCTGAGGTCACCCAATTTCACTTTTTAAAAAATTCTTAAAATTTTAACAAAATTTGTAATTATTTGCATAGCCTCAGAATATAGTTTCCAAGGATTTTCTAGTTTTGCAAGCAAGTTTCCTAAAGATTTCTGTAATAGCACTACATAGTTGTTACTTGTATCTCCTGGGAGCTCATTAAAAGCAGCATTGCTCTCTTGTCTTTTTGGAAGCTTCTTTGCTCTGACTGGGGAGTCACTCGCCAGAAAGCGATTCTGCTACTCATTTTTAAACCATTACTAACTGAACAGTTCCATGTAGAGCTGTGAAATCGCCGGTTTTTTCTCCACTGAACAAGATTACTAGGCCTTAAATCCACTCCTTTTAGAAGAGCCTTTGGGGGGGCGGGGGCAGAACCCAGTAGGGTGAGCATGAGGTAACAATTCAGTGCTAAGTGGTTTTAGTTGGAGAACCTCTGAAATGTAAGTGGAATGATGATTCTGATTAAACATTTCTATTTTTAGGTATCGGATGATAACAGAAGGTGGAGTCAGCATAAATCACAGACAAGTAACAAATCCTGAGAGTGTTTTGGTTGTTGGACAACATATTCTTAAGAACGGACTTTCATTACTTAAAATAGGAAAAAGGAATTTCTACATTATAAAGTGGCTTCAGCTATGACGACAAATCCTCTGGTGGTTCCGACGGACTTGTCCATCACATTCTCAAGATGTACCAGAGGTTGGCTCCAGAACTTCTACTTCGCTCTGCAAGTCAAACCACAGAGAACGGAGTAGGCCCTAGGCCTCCGAGCGTGAGTAATTCCATTATTTCCACAGGGTGGTTAAGACCAAGGGCTTGTGTACTGAGGGGGTTGATCTCCTGAGCCGCAGGCGTAACGACTACCAAGAAAACCGTGATTGCGAAGGATCATCTCTCTTTTAAAAATTGTTTCGTGAAAGAGCTGTCCTATGCTTCTCAGTCCTTGTAGAGGTGAGGAAGAACAGCGACCAGGGCAGCAAAGGGCTCCTTCCTCTGGGAGGAGGGGTCGCTCCCTGATCGCACTCACCAACCCCAGCAGCACCCTCTCGTGTCCACATCGGAAATGCGAAAAATACTGGAAACGTAAATTTCTGGATTTTTTGTGGTTTATGAAGCAAACAGTTCTCCTTAGGAAGAAAAGTATTACATACATTAAGGCATAGTTGGCAGTAGAAGTTATAGAAAGTTTCCTTTCAAAGAATAAAACTCAGTACTTTTCATAAAATTTCTAACCCAGTTTTCCAGTCCCTTGCATAATTAAATTTACTCACAGCCTTGCTGTGCCAGATTACTAAGGTAGCAGTATTTTATAAATCTGGAAACTTACATTAGTTTAATATTATTAGTAATATTTAACATTAGTTTAATATTATTAGTAATATTTAACAGTAACTAAGTTTCAACTCCTGTCCCCAAGCAGATTGCAACTTGAGATAAACTGAAAAGTAGAGAGAAGATAGAAGCAAACATTATACCAAATATCTAATCATATGAGAATATCTAAAGGTTTTGTTAAGCTAAGGGTAGTTTTCAGGATTTAGAATCAAGACCTAATTAAGCACTATATACATTGGGCAAGTTCCAGTTCTCAGAACTGTTTCCACATCTGAAAAATCAAGGTAGTATTACCCTCTTTCCTTGAGGACCAAGTGAAACGCAAATACAGAATGGTTCATGATCCAGTTCCTTCTAGAAAACCTTATAGGCAGCAAAGCATGGCTTTAATGTTCAGATCCTAGGCATTTACCACCTGGATTATGTGAAACTGGATCGCCATTCTTATGTGTAAAACTGGAGATGGACTAATAAATACCTCTGTGAATTTTAAGAATAGGAAAAAATTTGTAGAACCTTTTATATAGTAGAAGCTATACTATGTTCCAATGAGGTGTGTATGTTAAAAAACTATAGTTTATCTAAACCTTTCTCTGGGAGCAAAGTTAGGAAGAATTCATTTATTGACAAAACTTTGTCATTTCATACCAGCAATTTTATTTACATAGCAAGAACATACAGCAGTCCACTGTAAATGTCAGAGATCATCTCAACACAGAGCTTCCCTCAGTTTGAGAGCCAGTAAAGGAAGGTTCTCTAACTTCCCATACCTTTCTTGCACAAGGTGTGTAGTGCCAGCAAGTACATTACCGTAGCCTATTTTTAAAAGTAACCTTTTCAATTTGAAATAGGTTGGATATTACAGATTCAGAAGGCTGAGATGGTAGTCCTCTGACAGCATCTGGAGTAAATCATGGATGGCTGTACTGACGGATGATGGCAAAGTGACTCTGAAGTGTGTGCTAACAAACATCTAGGTAGTGTGCATTCTATCCAGATGGTACTATTAACAGATTTAGAACAGTACCGTATCTTGTAAGATTGAATCTGTTTTCTTATGTTTGAGATCAGTTGCTGAGCCTGTTTCTTGCTAGTCAATGGGTGCCGGAAGCTCAAGTCAACAGACACATTGTCCTGCCAGGAGTCCTTCATCAATGTCATAATTTAAGAGAAATGTTAACATGTTGAGTAAATTATGTATCGCAGATATAGTATCTGTTAAGAGATGGAGCTAGATGCCTTAAAGATTTTGACCTGTATCTTAAAATTTATAATGTAATTCCTATCAAGGATCATCTGGGGAATCTTAATAAAATGTGAATATGTTCTAAACCTCACCCCCAACCTCTGAATACATTTTAGTAGTGTAAGCCTTCAGGTGTGTAGCTGTGTCCAGGTGTTTTTCTTAATAAAGTTCCGCCAGTATTTTCATACCTCTATTCTAATGTGTCTTATTGGTGTGAAGCAAAAGTAGCTACTACCAATAATAGAGAAGATATACTTCAATGATCAGCACAGGATTTGGTTTCACCTCCAAGTGAATCTTGGAACATGATGTAAATGACCTAATTTAAAGATGTATCTGAATTACTTAATATTTGAAAATCAAGTCTAGATGGTTGTTTTTAATGCAGGAAACTATAAATCATGCTTCCGGGTTTAAGAAAGGATCAAAGATATTTTAACGCACGAGGGCAATGTGGACCCAGAAATGGAAGGGCTACACAGCTACATGTTATGCACACCACCTCACCGTCAATGTCAGATCTTGTGCCTTCAACTTGCCTACTAACACATCAAAGGCGTTGCAGAGAAGCTCAATAAACTATAACTCAAAGGACAGGTGGAGTACAGTGACTGTGAGTAACTTGTCAACTCACATCTTTCAAAGCCAGACCGGTTTATATTGTGCATGCATTACAGTTGTATGAAACATTGTCTCGGTGCGTTCTTCTCGAAGGACTATGGCAGCAGCTGTAAGACTACTAACAGATTACACAGGTCATCTTGTCCACAGGCAAACTGCTTGTACAACTAGAACATTAACAGTTCTTTTTAAGTTCAAATGAAACTGTCACAAGAAAGACTTGATGTATTTTATATGTACTGGGCAACTTTAGAAACAGCCATTTATTATTTGGATAAATGTATGATTTGTTCTGCAATACAGAGTGAAATTTTCAGTTTATAGCCAGTCTCTTCACATGAGCAGATTCATACCATTGCAATACACAGTTCATAAATAAAATTCTACTCAAGTAGGCAGTAACTAGCAAATTTTGAGTCAACAAAGTCTCATATATAATTCTCTTCACCAAAGATGAGTCTCTCGGATTTCCGCAATTATTTGACTGGCTCCTTGTAATGCCTGTATTAAAAAAGAAAAAAATTATAGATGCTTATTCAGTTATAATATCAAAGAATCTGAATTAGGTGGGGGTAATCTCTCCACTTGGTATGGGGTAGATTTATACTAATCCCTTTCTTCTCTGGAATTTGAATCTAAAAATCTAATCAAGTACCAACCCCCGGAAAAAGATCAGCCATCATATTGAAGACTACAGACCTCCCAAGGATCAGAATGCATTTTTAACAGTGTAATGTTTACATCTACCACCCAAGTGTGACAATTCAAGACCCTTTACAGTACCTTTAGCATGTCAGCTGCTTCCTTCCTGCGCTGTGCCATGTCCTCAGATTCAGTCAGAAGATCATCCAATAAGGATGACTTATACAGCTGTCCTACTAACTCACTCTGAAGAGTATCTTTCACATGATTAACCAAAAAATGCATTACTGCCTTTGGCACACTGCAAAAACAAAACACAACAGATGATTCATTAATTTAGAATAAAAGCCTAAGTTTTAAAACACGTATTTTCAAAACAGATAATGGAATCATCAAGCAATATTAATCTGATTTCATACTACAGTACTAACCTGTCCTGAATGTTCTTTCTGACTATAAGAAAATATGATTTGATGAGTCGTTCAATGACCTCACAATCTCGCTGTTCACGGGCAGATAGTTTTCGTGCAACGGGCACTGGCTAAACAGAGTGAGGGGAAGAAAAAATTTTTACTTTTGTGCCATTTTGAATCAGCAACATTTAAAAGTTCCAGGAGTTTTTGTGACTTTCAGTTCCTTTTGTCTTTTGAAGTGTTTTCCTAGCAATCTGGTTATCTTAGCAGTGTTCACCCATTTGCATGGCTTACCACATCCAGCAGATTTACAGCGTGGCCTTTTTGTGGACTCGCTGGCATAATTGGAATTGGTTTTGATTTTTCCTCAGCTAGTAACTCTTCAGCTTTGGAAGTTTTCAGCATTCCTCTCCAGTTGCCTGTTGTTGGTTCTTGACCACCATCTCCAACCCCACCACCACCAGCCACAACCTGAAAAAAGCACATTCCAAAACCTATTCCCGCTGTATCATATCTGACATTACCTAAAGTTCATTTTCTTTGACAGCAGTCAAGGAGAACACACATCCAGTACCCATCTGGAATTTCCTCTATTCAGACAGATGACAGAGTCAGAAAAAGATGGTAGGTGGCATGTATAACTGGAACCCTGAGCTATCATAAACAAGAGGTTTTGTTGTCATTTCTTTGCAAGCCTCAGCCAACAGATTTAATTTTTCTTTATCGTTTGCTAACTTTAATATTCTAATATTCTTCCTCTTCTCCAACCCCTCTAACAGCAGATTGTGGGAAAAGCATAAATAAACTGCCCTTAAAAACAAGAGTACTTATTAAAAGCACAAGGAAAAACAGCTGCCATTTAGCCTAATTTTTTCAAAGTAATCTCACACACTATTGAACTATGATCTCTCCAAAAGTTCTATGAACTCATGTCTCCAAAACTTCAGAGTTTTCTATGTTAGCTTACATCTTTACTGGTCAACAAAATACCATAGGATAAAACTAATAAAACAAGAATACACTCACAATTCTTAGGCTGGCAGTGACTCTGAAGCTGCCTAAAATGTGGAAAGAAATCTAGTAATCTCAAGTACTTTTGCACCTTCTTTTCTAGGATAGCTGTTAGTTTATACAAGAAAGTAAGTTTAGGATAATGGAAAAAACAGTAACTCATCAACATTTAAGAATAGTTTTAGATACTCCTTAAAAAGATCTTACAGAGTGTTATGGCAATTGTTAAAAAAAATCAGCTTTCAAAACAAAAAGAACTGGGGGTCAATTATAGGGTGATGAATGGTTAACTAGCCTTTTGGGGGTAATATCACTGTTTAATTTTTCCAAAAGTCAGTTTGGGGTATCATTCTGAATCAAAATACTGGCCCAGATTGCCTCAAATATGCTAGTTAAGATATGCCATAGCTCAATATAGGCAGTATATTTATACACTAATGTTAAAATGAGTAACTGTATCTTTAAACACCAGTGAACGATTAAAAAAAAAAAGTCAGCAAATTCAGAGTGATGCTAGGAGTGAAATAAAACTTAAAGCAATAAATCCTCAGCACAGTGGGCTGAGAGAAGGTAAGACCTTTATAAACTTTTGAGGTTCAGAACCTTACATCTGGACAATAAGTGAGGAAAGGAGCCAACGGCAGAAAAACCAGAAATAAGGATGGGTCTGAATGAGTCATTGATGATTTCATTTTCCCCAAAAAAAGATGATCAAAAATTGACAGTCTCAAGCACTTGCAGTCCCTGTTTTGAATTTGCTTAAGCTACCAAGGCACATGTTAAGCTAGGTGTTTAGGGTGACAAGGCAAACCGCATGGAAGCACAAGAAAGCAGGAGAGGGTTATCCATTAGTACTGGACAGAGCTCAGAGCCTTTAAAGAGGAAATGTTCAAAAGTATTAACTTTCATCTCTGGAATCTCAATTCCCTACCACAATATTAAAATCAAAACTAGGAGAAAGCCTGTAGTTGTTATTTAAGGAAATGTTTAAACTAGAACTAATGCCATCTTAGAAGGGTTAGTTAGGTAAGAGAAACAAAAAATGGAACACAGACAAGGGGCAGATGCTATGGTACAAACAGCTTCTCCAATGGTTTTGAAGACAGTGTTTCAATGAGAACCAAAGGTACATTTCCATTCTGAAGCAAGAGACTCACATTTTTAGTTTCTCTTCTGCTGTCCTGAATTAACTGTTAAAAGATATGTTAAAACATGCAGTTTAACAAGCAAAATTTAAATACCAATAGCCTGAATTTCAAAAGTGCAGGATAATTTCCTCTTTAAATTATTTTTGTGTGCATCTTTATTACAAGCAAAGGCATGTCAACAATATAAAGTATACGCTGTTATATAATTTAAGATTCCTATTAGAATGAAATGATCTAACCTTAGCACAACATCCCACATTAATGTTCTGCTATTACTGTACAGTGTGGTGTCTCCAGATGATTATGTTGCACCAAACAACTAGGCATGCAGGCTTAGATTAAGAATCAGAACAGACCTTGCCATCAGCCTCAGCAGAAGCAGCAGGGGAGGGCTCCTGGGAGGCAGGTGCCAAAGCACTTGGAACTTTATAAGACTAAAGGCAAAAAATGCAGGGAAAGAAAATCAAGGATGCCAAAAGTGCATTCAGAAACATTGTATAAATGTAAATTTTTCTTCTCTGTATCAAAATAGTAAAGTAACATGAGAAATAAAAGTAATTATGGGATATAAAATTATGGCTTATTCGTATTTCTTATATTATTGTCACCTTCGTTAAAAAACCTTCTTCAGATGAATACCTAAGAAAAATCCAAATTCAAAAACTTCATTTTTACTTTTGGAATCTGGTAAGATCTTTTCTGGTAAAGAATTCAAGATAACACATTTGTATACATACATTTTAATCTATGCAACTGTTACAGAAAACCAAAACCTATTATGTGCACATTATCTTCTCTCCAAAATGCCTTGTTATAGTAAAGTCATTTCAACTAATTTTACAAAGTTGATAAAGTCACCATAAGCTTTGTTTTAAAAGCTCAATATTTTGGGGTGCCTGGGTGGCTCAGCTGGTTAAACTCCCTGTTTCAGCTTAGGTCATGATCTGGGGGTCTTGAGATGGAGCCGTGTGTTGGGCTCTTCTCAGCCTGGAGCTTGCTTGAGATTCTCATTCTCCCTTGATCCCGCTCCCCCTCTCTTGTGTGCACTGTCACTCTCTTGTAAAAATCTTTTTAAAAATAAATAAAAGCTTGGTATTTAAAATTCACCTTTAAGCATTTTTTCTAATGTTTTCAAGATACCATTATCTTTTACTTCAACCTATTTTTAAATAAACTTGCATATCTTCACTCAAACAAACAGTTCCAATGAAATAGTAAAGGGAGACGAAGAAAAGACTGTTCCTAGAACTGAGTAGTATTAAGGCTTACCAATCAATCCTTTGCATATTGGGAATATACTTTTAAAATACTGTTTTTTTTTACCTTGTCTCGTGATACAGCTGAAGGTAATTCTCTTGCTAGCCTGTTTCTCCTTTGTTCCTATAAAACACAACCAAACCAAAGTGATTATCAGAGCACTGAGATGGAAGCCTACTAAAAAATGTTCAGCTGAATTGAAAAGTGTGGAATAACTTACAGTATATCCTCTCACTGTTGGGACTCATGCCACAATTTTATTTTAAAACAAACAAATCATTTAACCCAATGCTTCTCAATCTTTTTTTCTGCCCAACACACCTGAAGGATACAATATAACGTCAGTTATAGTGGCTCCCTGTACCAGGGATTCTCAATTGAGGGGCATGGGCCGACATCTCTGCCTTTCCCACTAGGTGTCCATGGTTTCAGCTGTCCCCACATAAACGTGTGCATAAGCCTTCAGCACACCATAAGGAATCTTCTAAGCGCACAAATGACAGAAAACGTAAGCCTTTAAAAATCACTCCACCCTGCACACCTCTGTGTTAAATTCACACAATTCCCACCCACAAAACCCTGAATACTGTGGCAGAGGTTATCCTTTCAGGATGTTCCATTTCCTTTATTCTAAACTCTCCCAGAATAAAAGTAGAGAAAAACCTAATTTAACAGAATGACCACCCACTCTTCTAACTTGCTAATATCGGGTAACTGGTACAAAGCTTAAGAAACAGTGTTAAGTTCAAATCAACAGGTAGTGAACACCTACTGTATGTCAAGCACCATGACCGGTGCAAGAGTGAAAACAGAAAGATGGAGGTGTTCACAGCTCTTTCCCAGGGAGCAACAAAGACCTAGGAAAGCATTTAGGTTAAATAAAGTCAAAATTGCTCCTAAGGAGCAAACATTTTATGAGCACTCTCAAACCTGTGAAAAAGACGTTAACAAAGCTTCCACTGTGATCTTTTATACTTAAGATTTTCTTTTGACAGATACTTGGCTGATTTTCATTTTTCTCATGGGGAGAATCCAGTGATAAAAAAAATAGAGCAGACAAGAAAAATATGGGGATTTAACAACCTTCAGAATAAGGTTGTTACATATTATACATATTGAAGAGGGACAGGACACAAAGCAAAACAGGAAAATCTAAAGCCCAGAAATTCTCATCCTAGTTCATTACCAACCAGTTATGACCTCAGCTGGCCCTGGACAATGGTCCTGGTTTATTTTAACTTTGTTAACTGGACAGGTTACCAACTCTTTCTAAGCCCTCAGTTTTGTAGTCTGTTAACATTATCTAACCTTAAAAGATTGTTGTAAAGATTACTGAGAATATCCAAATAATGATCTTTGTCATGAATCATTAAAAACAGGGACATGCTCATTTGTTTAAAGAAAAAAAAAAAAAACTTAGCTGAAATCATCATAAATGACCTTGTCAGTATCACAAAGTCCCATACTTTAGTTTTCCATTGAAGGAGGTTTCAATGTTACAAGAACTAAATCTTTATTCTAAGTGTCTACATGCTAATTTTTACATAATGGTTACCCAGTGCCCTTTCCAAGTGCTTTAAAGTGTCCATTTTGAATTTTTCTTTTCTGACACTGAGTCACCTCTGCTAAATAGCTATAAAATAGTTCCCTATACCTGTTACAAAGAGAAGGTGCTTGTTTCCTCCAACAGTGCCCAGCAAATTAAGCACTAAAAAAATACTGTTACCATCTGTGGGCCTCAGACTCCTCATCTGTTTAACCAAGACTGAAGTGGATGACCCAGGGTCCCTTCCAGTTTCCAAATTACATGCTTAGAATTTTCTGTCCATCCATATGCATAAAAGGAAATTTTATAAAGAAGAGGACTCTTAAGGTCTTACTGGATTAACGAGTAAACAGAAAAACTTACTGTTCTTGGATAAAAGTAGCCAAGAAAGAAAAAAAACAGCATCTGGATAAATTGCTTTATCCACTAGCCTTGGCTCTGTGTGAGATCTTAAACAACTTGCAACGTTCAACTCAAATGGGGAAAAAAAAGAGCTATGAAATGCAACCACCCCAGCACTGATGAAAATTTACTATTAATTAATTTAGGTAATTCTTGGAATGTTTCCTTCCCAGCTTTCAGAACCAAATGAAAACTATTTTAAACACACTTAGTTTTGCACTCTTCAACCTGAATAAACTACAACAGTTACTGAAAGGGAGCAGGCAGGCAGTCCTTCAACACTATATCAGTGAATCCCAGGTCCCCTCTGAATTACAATTGTGTAAACAGAAAATGAGAAAAATGCCTCCAGGTGGTTTTGACAATTAAATTTATGTAACAATGTAATGCTGTCATACTTCCTGGGATATGACAGACAATAAATGACATAGCCTATGTATGTTTTATAGTTATCCCATGCTTGGTGAATTTGATACAACTGATTTACAACAGATTTTTTTCTCTCTAAAGAGACAATTCAAATGGTATTTACCTCTATATTATTGTTCATTAGCCCACATGCATCAGCAAAGTCTGGATGTTTTGTGTTGATATAAGCCAATTCAATCGCCACTAAGTTATGGACCTAGAAAAAAACAAAATTAGACTGTATACAAAAATACAGCGACCTAACTACTTTAAGAAACAAAACTTAGTAAACAGTTTTTAAAAAGACAGTATGGGAAACTGATGCCTAAATTAATAGTCAATAATTATACTCCAACTGATACATGTTATGCCATATAATTTGCTCTATCTTTTGAATAATTTACATCTCAGCATCTAAGAATGCATTTCCCCCCTTTAGAGGGAGGGGAGGAAGTGACCTTAAGGTAGTTAGAAGTACTTTGCTAGAGGAAAAAAAATTCCCTGATGCAAACCTAAAGTTCCAAGACTTTACATAATTTTGCTACTAAACTCAGGTTCAGGGGCACCTGGGCAGCTCAGTGGTTGAGCGTCTGCCTTTGGCTCTGGTCATGATCCTGGGGCCCTGGGTTCCAGTCCCATATCGGGCTCCCTCTTCGGGGGGGACCCTGCTTCTCCCTCTGCCTCTGTCTCTGCCTCTCTGTATCTCTCATGAATAAATAAAATCTTTTAAAAATAATAAAACCTCAGATGACCTGCTAATCCATTTCAAAGTTTCAGTTCAGTTTCAATAAGAAAACATTTCATAATCAGATATAAAAGCTGTTAACTTTGAGTAAAGGATACATTGAAAGACCTGAGATAATGACTGATTAGCCTTAGACACACAGTTTAAATAGTGTATGTGGTCTGAAATCCTAATAACAATAATCAAAACAGGACAATAATCAAAAAGGAAAGTTGAAATTAATTTCCCCAGCATTGCAGAGAGATTAGCTCCTTCAGCTGCCTTAAATTGGGTATTAGAAGAATACTAAAACATCAAGAACCAAGGTGAAAAGCATCTATTCAAGTGAAATTCCAATGATTCTGTGCTGTCACTGGGTAGACACTGAGATCAGGCTAACTATATTCTGCTCCTCTCAGTCTGAGGGTTCCACTCGCTAGGGAAACTGCCAAACAGCAGCGCTCACATTCTATACTTCCAGGGATGGTTTTGTACTCTTTGTAAACCTCCATGGGGACTCGCCACCATCCTGAGCCAAGGATCCAAATGCACTTCTAGTGACCAGAAAGGGAAACAAAACACCCAGCCAACAAATAGAGACATAAGGCAATTTCAAATGCTTATCCCCTATTTTTGCCAATTTCAGCATTTTTAAGGATAGCAGTAACCCAGAAAAGAGCAGCAAGCAACCATATTACAGTGTTGCATCATCAAACAAGCAAACTACAAGTGGCCAAATTACCCTGATGTACTAGAGCTAAAATAGTTTGCTATATAAAAGCTCAGTTTATCAGGCCTGATTATTAAACTAATTTTCTATTAGATCAGTGGTGCTATATAGTATAGCAAAGCTATTCACAATTGTCAACACTAACTCCATTCTTAATGAAAACCTATAGCTGTAGGCTAACAGTGATTAAGATATGAAGAAAACTATACTTCATGCCAGAATTACTTGTGTCCTTTGAAATAAGAGTGAAGTTTACTTCTTTTTCTTCCCAATACACTGGGAAACATGGCTTAAACTCTAAAGTACTCCTATTGCTATACAAAAAAATTTCTTTAGTGGTTACCATGATGATTTGTGAAAATAGCAGCTCACCATTTCATTTGTAACAGGTAACCGCTTACGAAGAAGACAAGTCACTACTTCAACTATGGCATCATGAAGTTTAGGAAACCGCAACAATTCCTATAAATGATAGAAGAAAGAAAAATTTAACGGTCTACTTTGTTTAAAGGAAAATTAAATAATCACCAAAATACTGAATTAGATTTTAAGCAACATATAGCATTACACTTCAAATCACTTTCAGATAAGGAAAAATGCAGATTTTTAACTTATTTTTAGCCCATCCACAAAACCACCACTTCACGTCTTTTACTACTTAATCTGACACGTTACATTTCTCAGTTACCTGTGTACTATAATTGCTACAGTGCTGAATAATCCTTTGCATTTCCTCATGAACCAGCTCCACACAACGCAGGCTGGGTTCTTCCAGACGTTTGATTTGCCGCTTAACCAATAGCTCAAATGAAACTTCAGGCACAAACAAAGCAGGACGAGGACCCTAAAAAATTTTTGAGCTCTTATTATAGCTATATTAAATTTTAATTATTCCCTAAGTTAAAATAAATCATGTTTTTTGGTATTTTTCATGAAAAGTGCTTCCTGATATTAAGTATGAGGGCAAAAATACAATTCCTTTAAAGATATAGCTAATGGGTTAAAAATTATAATAAACCCTTAACCTTTTAAAAAATTTCTAAAAGTTGAGCATACTCACAGTAGCATTTCTGATGGCAGTCAAAATGTCAATGGTGTTAAGGCCACCTAGTGGGTCAACAGATTCTAAAGTTCGCCCAAAAGTCTCATGGAAAATATAACATATCCTAGCACCACCGCATCTGAAAGGCAACGAAGTATATGGTTTCTATTATTATTAAAAGGGAAAGAAGCTACAAGTTAGAAGCCTTTCTATAAGCTTTTAAGGCCTTATTGTCTGATAAAGTTCTCAGATAAGCAATTACTTTTAGATCATTTCCATGTGTTCTCAACTCCCTTATGAACCAGTTTCTGTAATTTTTTTCTTTTAATGAACAAGAGTCATTCCACAAAAGGCATCCATCACATGTATTTGTTTGCATGCACACAGACACACATACAGAATAATGGTCTGTCCAAAAACATTAGGTAACTAAGAACTATTAAACATCTTTTCTCTGCCCTTAGTTTCCTTGACTATGAGCTTTTTAAAAGACAAGAAATGATATCTTGTTTATTTCTGTTTATTCACAATTTAGAGAAAAGATAGGCAAACTTTTCCTGTAAAGGGCCAGATAGTAAATAGTTTAGGCTTTTCAGGCCATACGGTCCCTGCCACGACAACTCCATTCAACTACTGAGCACAAAAGCAGCTATAGAGAAAAATACAAACAAATAAGCGTAGCTGTGTTCCAGTAAAACTTATGCACACTGAAATTTGGATTTTAACATGTCATGAAATATTCTTTGAATATTTTTCAACCATTTAAAAATGTAAAAATCCTTCTTGGCCGATGGGCTACAGTTTTCTTCTGCTTTAAACAAATTAAATCTCTACTATCCTCTACTTTCTTACCGTTGTCTAAGCAGAAGGTACCAACCTACATTATGTTAAGTGAAATAAGCCAGACACAAAAGGACAAAGATTATATGATTCCCCTCATATAAAATATCTAGAATTAGCAAATTCATGGAGACAGAAAGTAAATTAGAGGTTACCAGAGACTGGAGGAGGAGGGAACAAAGAAATACTGCTTAATGGTTACAGAGTTTCTGTTGGGGTGATGAAAATTTTAGAAATAGACACCATCTGATGCTTAGACAATATTGTGACTGTAACCAAATGCTATTAAACCACACTTAAAAATGGTTAAATTATCCATTTGCCTCCAACCGATCCTTTCTCCAAATAATTTTCCATAATGATTAAAATTATCCTTCTAAAATGGGTACTCCTCTGACTGAAAGTGTTTTATTTTCTATGGCAGGAAGTTCTCTAAATTCTGAAGATATCTGACTTTCCACAATCTTGTTCTCAGATGCCTTTGCTGCCTAACCGCCTGCTATGTCCTGCCACCGTACATGCCATTCCCCAAATACACCCTTTGCATTATTCTTTGCTGTCCCAAAGCCTAAAACACTCTTCCACTTATTGCTTCCCTATATCCTATTCAGAGCCCAACCTGAACACATTCTTAACTATGGCACTTACCGTCTCTCAGAGAAATGTAAATGATCTCTCCTCAATGTTTTAAGGCTTAAATGATTACACAGATAGATATCTGCTTTATTAACTACTTATAAAATACTTATATATATATAATATATAAGCACTTTTCTAGATGTGCAGTATATTAAATAAGTATTTAAATAAAAATACTTGATTATACACCTGTTTGCCACCGAATCATGCCTTGTGTTCTTGTTCTACCTTACCCACTAAGTGCTTCAAAGGCTCATCTTAGTAATCTGTATTTCCCCTCAATATGCCGTATGTTTATATATAATATATATATAATATCATATATATATTTATATATATTATAATATGACTAACCATTCACCAATTAGTTAAATACTGTCTTTATAGAATTAACTCACATAACAGGCCACCTGTGTCACACAAAAGTACACAGAATACACACACCGATGTGTGTATAATTTCACAAGTGGTAAAATCTGAATAAGCTCTGTGGGCTGTACCCTTGGTCCATTTTCTCATTTTGTTTCTGTACTACAGTTATGCAAGATGTCAACACTAGGGAAGATGGGGTGAAAGATTAACAGGACCTAGGAAGGCATATTTATTCGCAACTTCCTGGAAGTCTATGATTATTTCAAAATTAAAAACTTTTTTTTAAAGTGAGAGTTCAGAGAAATGAACATTCTTACATATTGCTAACAGTAAAACAATATAATCCACTAACAGTGTGGCAACAGGAAGGGATTTTTAGGATGTTCTCCCTTTGATATAGTAATTCCATCCTAAGAATTTAGCCTAAGGGTTTACTCAGATTCATGCCCCCAAAATAGTCGATCAAAACACTGTTTATATTTAAATGAAACTATCAGTAGTAGGGTACTGGTTCAAGACATGAGGATGTATCTAAAAAGCAAAATACTATGTAAATTTTAAGATTGATAATAGAAACGTGTAATTAATATTAGTTGTTTATGACACAATAATTTAAAGGAATGATTCCAAAACAGCATGATAGTGTTTTGATCTGATTTTTGAAGATGTGTAATACAGGCATTTATAATATTTTATCATTGCATTGAAAAACGTCTAAGTTCATGCCAAAATTAGCAGGGATTATTTCTGGATAGTGGAATTAAATCATTTTGTCCTTCTGTTCTTTTTATCTGCATTTTCTTTTTTTTTTCCATGAAAAATCATAGTGTGTCTATTAAAGAGACAAATATTTAAAAAGTTAAATTATCAGTTATATTTAAATGCTTATCAAAGTCTTGTCTAAAAAAAACAAATTTACTGTGCTTTACCTAGTTTACAAAGCATTTTATTAACACATATGTCAGACAGCATCCTATTATTTCTGCAAAACACTATTCTGCAAATAACAAATAATGATCAGAAAATCTCAGAGTTAAAGTCACTGTTACGAAAGCAAAAGTAACCCAGCAATTCAGATAAGCAAACCCATAGAGAAATTCTTTACTTACAGCTCTGAAGTTTCGATATATTTTGCAGTTCCTTCAATAGTGTTACAATATTCTGTGGCGAATTTGGTGATAAGCTGGAGCAGAGTAGCACTTTTATCATCGACCGGCTCACCATAGCTATTGAGGAGAGACTGATACTGGGCAGCTAGAACATTTATCCTGGTTTTCAGCTCTGGTAAGCAATCTCTGATGTGATGCATCAGTAACCTAACAAAGGTCGGAAAGAAAGGATTCTTACAATAAAGCTGTGTATTCTGAAGACCCAAACAGGTCAAATTTTTAATGTGCCAATAATGGTAAAAGCTGTCAAATAATTTGTCCTGGCAGGAAATAAAGCAATATTAGGCTGGAACTAAATGCTTAGTGTGAAAAAAAGACACGATGATACTTGAGCCCACACTTTTTACATTTTTCAGACTAAGTAATCATTTTCACTGTGCTGAGTATCCACAGTAAAACAGAAGTCAGTAATCAAAATTATGTAGATAGAATTATACTGAGTAGCTTACTTTCTATGAGGTAATTGTAACTAATATAAAAATAATTTTTTCAATGTTTATCTGGCTCTCTAGCAATCGCTACAATTTGATGGGTTGAACACGAACAAAGAATTTAGTCAACACTTTTTAAATTTGCCTTCAACCCCATCTTATTAAGATCCAAGTCCATGAGCCTTTATTTAAGGAATACGACAAAAGTAAGAGAAAACAACTTTCATTTCAGTCATTTAAAAATCATCTAGAAAGCTTTTCCAGTCCCTCTACCATCAGTGGGTATTAAGGATTCAAGGTATATACTTTAAATTCTTTTTATGGATAAGAACAGAAGACATCCGAAAATAACAATTGGTTATGTAAAAAATAGACATTTTATTTTAGTTCCTGAAACCCCAAGGGGAAATTAGTCATCTGCTATTTAGTTCTATTATCAAAAGAGTAGACTGTCAAGAACTTCATAATTAAGACATTTTAAAATTCCCTTGAGCACTCCTAGACTACATAATTTAACGCCAGTCACCTGAACAAAAAGACATCTATCTACATTACAAGAACCTACTGTACAAGAAACAAAACATGAAACTGTACACGCAAAAATGTTATGAAAAGGAACTAAAAATGAGAGCTCACAGACACCTATTGCCAAACCAAAAGACCATATTTTCCAAGAGTAAAAACGTTACCTGTTTAAAGTCCTAGCAAGATACTTTGTTCCATTTCTGTTAGCCAGAGATGGGTATTTCTTTTGAAGGAAAGCATATTCATCACGGATTGAATCAGTTACACTCTTCTTATTGTTAATGTCTAGTTGGCTCCTAAGGTTGAAAAATAACAAACTGTTTAACTAAAGTCAATTGTGGTCCTCTACATACCTTAGATGATGATGGTAGCACCAGACATTGCTTGTAATGCCTGATATGGATTGTGTTATCTAATTTTTGCAGTAATTCTTGCAGTAGGTATTATCCCATTTTACAGCAAAGGAATTGATGCCCAGGGACATTAACCTACTCAAGATCACATGGTAAGTACTTCCACCAAGATTCAACCTGTGACTTGTAAGTAATACCTGAATAGTTTAGGCCTCACTGTTACCATTAACTACTGCCAAAAGCAGCAGTCTGAAGTAACAGGGTAGACAAGTGAAAAAAAAAAAGTATAAATATGATAACCAGCAGTATATTTTATCCATATACAGGTATCTAATTTCTATCAAAAATAATTAACTTCAAGAGCAGTCATTTACAGATGCAAGTCTTACGCTATGAAATGGGAGGGGGCAGATTAAAAAAAAAAAAAGCCAAAGTATGGATAAGATAGGACATACAAAGCAGACAACTTAATTGTAATGGACCCTGGGTATCACTTTAGTAAAAACAGTTTCATTTTAAAAGGCCTGAGATTTAAAGATGTTAGCTGGCATTTAAATCCACATTAAAGGGGTATCTGGGTGGCTCAGTTGGTTAAGTGTCTGTCTGACTTTGGCTCAGACTCACAATCTCAGTCTCCAATGTATAGCTTGAGTCTTCTGATTATAAAATAAACATCATCCCCTACCTCACAGAGATGTTATAAGGATTCAAAGAGCTACCATTTGGAAACTGCTAACAGAAGAGGATCTAAAATATAATTAGACACTCAACAAGAGTTTCTTTTCTATAATTTTTAATACCAGCTATTTATGATTAGGATACCTTTAATAAAATTTCTCCAAGTCATCCTGGCGATTAAAAAGGATCACTAATACGAGAGGTGTTAAACCAGTTTATTAAAATCCTACCACCTTATTTAGAGACTCTGTCTCGAATGTGTACAAACCAAATAATACTTTTTTTTTCTCTTCCAGTGCACTCCTCATATATAACATAATAGGCAGAAATTTTTCAAGCCTGGCTATTAAATTTTCTTCCATTTTATGGACTGCTTACTTTAAAAACCCTTTCCATTACAAATGCCCATAGGAGGCTTTCGTGAATCTCTCTCCTCTCTTCAGAGTAATAAACTCCTAGCAATACCAAGATTATATAAAAGGGAAAAAGAGGGATAATATCACATTTTAAACTGCTTTTTAAAATTCAGATTTGGGGATCCCTGGGTGGCGCAGTGGTTTGGCGCCTGCCTTTGGCCCAGGGCGCGATCCTGGAGACCCGGGATCGAATCCCACGTCGGGCTCCCGGTGCATGGAGCCTGCTTCTCCCTCTGCCTGTGTCTCTGCCTCTCTCTCTCTCTCTCACTGTGTGCCTATCATAAATAAATAAAAATTAAAAAAAAAATTAAAAAAAAAATATTTAAAATTCAGATTTGCGGGCGCCTGGGTGACTCAGTCGGTTAAGCATCTGCCTTCGGTTCAGGTCATGATCCCAGGGTCCCTGTTCAATGAAGAGCCTGCTTCTCTCTCTTCCTCTGCCTGCCACTCCCCCTGCTTGTGCTCTTTCTCTGTGTCAAATAAATAAATAAAATATTTTTAAAAAATAAAAATAAAATTCAGATTTCCTTTGAAATGGGAATGCTGCAATTCTTATCACATTCTTGATTGCTAACCTGTTAACTACTCCAATTATTCCAAGTTTGACTGGTATAACCCTTCCCATCAATACATCCATGGCATCAGTACCCGCATCCATGAGGTCAAGTTTAGTGATTACAGCTAAGGTTCTGCGACCTGATAAATGTAAAAAACAAAAACAAAGAAGAAAATGATCCATTAAATAAAGCTATTAGGTATTAATAAGGAAAAAATCCTCATCTATAATCCCTCCTTAACATTATCTCTGTCATTTTAATAATGCTTTTCTGACCTTTGCTTACAAATACTTTTTAAAAACTAATTATAGGGGTATGAAGCAAAGCTACATTTATTAGCAGCAATAATAACTAATCCCTGCAAGCTGCCATTTTATATAAAGAAATGCACACCACAGCATTAGTCAAATATCATACACTGACCCACAGTATGAACTAAATTAGGACTTACAAACATAATCCTTGGAGTTACAAATGCTTCTTAAAAGGATTTTACCTTTATTTCTAAGAATTTCCTCTGCCCTGTCTAAATGTTTTCTACCTCTGCAGAATGTAGGTAACACAATCATCTACAATGATTATGAGAGTTTATTCTTAGAAGTCAACCATTTAAAAATCTAAATCATTTTATTTATACAAAACAAGTCCTCTTTACAAAACCATCTTATAATTTTAAAATCATTAGGCAACTATTACAAATATGGATATTGTGTCAAGTGCTTTTGCCTTGTCTATACAGCAACTAACCCATTAAAGTTTAATTTCCATCAGAATATCTATTTGTAATTATAAGCAAAATAGGAATGCATTATTTTTTAAATCTTTATTAATAGCTAGAGAAATTACTTTTAAAAATAAATACTCCTTTCTTGAGGGTAGATTTACCACTGTTAATCAAGGATCTCATTAAATATTAATATCTGTCCTTACCATCTGGATCTACCTCTCTTGAAATCTTAAGTGCCTCTGATGTTGCCATATCTGTATTAGCAGCAGTGACAGCAAGGATGATGGAATTTGGATTACTGATGAACCGAAGAATGAGCTCTCTGATTTGAAGCTCGATATCCTTAGGTTGATCACCTACAGGCACCTGAACCGAACAGATGAGCAAGGAACTAATAATAAAAATCAACTCAGCTTCCCCCCCGCCAATTTAATCTAAAGAATATAGGTATTACTCCATTCACAGATAGTAAAAATGAAGAACGCATATAGTACTAGCATTATATATGAATTTGGTAGTATTAAAGTCCCAAAACATATTTCTTGCAAATATCAAAAGTTTACCGTGTAAAGGACTGGTCAATGCCCAGAGGCAAATCCATTCGTTCATTCAATTAGCAAGTATTTATTGGCAACCTACTATAATTCAGGCACCGTTATACATCAGATGTCACAGTAGTGATTTAAAAAAAAAAAAAAGACCAAGATTCCTGTCTTCATTAAGTTTATATTTTAGTGATGAGAATACATATATATATAGCAAATACATATATATAGTATCTAGGTGGTGGCAGAGCTATGGAAAACATTAAGCAGAACAAGGAGCTAGGGAGTGATCAGATAAGGTTATACTTTTAAATAATTACTTTAGGATTATGCTTTTAAAAAGAGAAATGAGGGGGAAAAGTCACTCAGATAATGACATTTAAGAGAATGAGCAGAAACTAAAGGAGATAAGGGAGAAGTACATGCAGATATCTGAGGGAAGAATATTCCAGCACAATGAATAGTAAGGGCAGAAAACTCAAACAGAAAGAGTTAGAATAACAGGGATATTTTAAATCACTTTTAAGAACTTAAGCTTTTATTGTGAATGAAATGAAAACCCACTGGAGATTTTGAGCCAAGGAATGACATAATCTAATCTTCACCTTAATAGCATCATTCTGGCTGCTTAAGAATAAGTTTATGAGGAAGACCTATTAGGAGGGCTATTGTAGTAATCCAGCTGATAGGATAGTGGCTAGATCAGGATGGTAGCTACAAATTTGTAAGATAAAATGGAGTTCTGGATAGATTTTAAATGTAAGGAAAACCAAAAGGAGGGGATCCCTGGGTGGCTCAGTGGTTCAGCGCCTTCCTTTGGCCCAGGGTGTGATCCTGGAGTCCGGGGATCAAGTCCCACATCGGGCTCCCTGCATGGAGCCTACTTCTCCCTTTGCCTATGTCTCTGCCTCTCTATGTCTACCATGAAAAAATAAATAAAAATATTAAAAAAAAAAAAAAAAAGAAAAGAAAACCAAAAGGATCTTCTGAGAAAGTAGGGTGTGGAATAAAACGTGTCACGTCAAGGATGACTACAAATTTTTTGGCCTAAGAAAGAAGAAAGTTGCCATTTATTGAGGTGGTGGAGACTACAGAAATATGAAGTAAGATTGAGGGAATAGGTAAGAAATTTAGCATGAGACACAAAGTTTACCTATTAGACACTTCAGTGTACGTGCCAAATAGAGAGTTGGGATATACAAGTCTGGAGATGTTTAAATGCTGTCAGCATACAGACATTCATATATTTAAAGCCATAGTTTGGATGAAATCAATGGTGCGGGGGGGAGGGTAGTGTACCCAACTGACAAGAGGTCTAAAAATAGCTCTGGGCACTCACTGTGGAAACACTGGGAAGATAAGAAACCAGCAAAAGAGACAGAGAAGGAGTGGCCAGTAAGACTGGAGAGAAACCTGCAGAGTATGGTATCCTGGAAGCCAAGTAAAGAAAATATTTCAATGAGAAGGGAGGGCTCGACTATATTCAATGCTGCTAATAGATCAACTGGGGGGGGGAAAAAGCTGATTATTCTCATAAGGTAAAGCAAAAATGACCACAATTGAAAACAAATATGACCAAATCCACAATGAGTAACAACTAATCTTTACCTTGGTCATTCCTGGCAAATCCACAAGTGTCAGATTGACAACATTGGGTGAAAAAATCTTAAGATGAATTGGCTCAGGGCTTACTCCCTAAAAATAAGTTTTAAAATATATTAAAGTCACATTAAAATTTCAGTGAAATATAAATTGCTAAAGTATACCTCCCTTCAAGCAGATAGACATTAGATGCTTTTAAGTATGAATTAAACTATGAACATTTAAACAATCAAAACCTGAGGAAACACATCAAGTAAGGCAGCCAGCCATATAGCAGGTGATAATCTTATCCAATTCTGTAACATCGATATACAAAAATTTATTTCCCCTGCATTATTTTATATCCTTGTCTCTTGATTCTGAACAGATACAACTTCTTAAATATGTTTAATAGACTTAGTGCTGAACTAAAGAAAACTGTATCACTATCCAAATTTATGAGGTTGAGTAGACAGTGAGGCATGGGCAAACAAGTTATCCATTTCAACTTGGTTCCTAATCTATGACTATCAAGTAGCAAGAGTGTGTATTTTAAGAGATTCTTCAGAAAATTTACCTAAATCTTCAGATCCCTGAATTCAAGTAGTTAGAATTTGGATAATGAGAGATACCTCTATTTTCTCTCCCCTGGACTGAGATTATTTATTATACAGACTGCCTTCTCTTCAACACTAGCCCTCTAAAAATTTTGAAGCTGAGCCAGCTACAAGTTAAAGGGCACACAAAAAATATGCATAACTTGTCTTTGCACATGCCCTTAAATGTCCTTTTCTCTTACCTACTTTCTATCTTCTTTCATTAATCCATTGAAAATTCTAACTTCCCAGAAAGCTTTTTTGGAACATCCTTTACTTTGAGATATATTGGGTTTCTCCAAACTACTTTTCTACTTCAAATACACCAGTGTTCAAAGTCATATGCTGATATTCAGCATACCTACCTAGGTTGTGTGCTTTCTTAGGCATTCCCTTATCATGTTTAATACAAAGATTTACTCAACTGCTTCTATAATTCCAATCTCACAGATATTTTAAATCCTTCAGGGTTTTATGTTAGGCATATGAAATCATTTAGATATTTGTACATATAAAATTACTTACATAAGATCAAAGTATTTACTTCATTACAAATATGACTTAGGAAAGAAGAGACTTTTCACAGATTTGGGGGTAGGGGACTTCTCATCCTTTGGACACTGTGGGTAAGAAAACCTGCTAGGTAAGTATATCACATCCCCACCATAAATTAAACATCTTGTTGGTATACAGACTCTATCTTTCATGACATTCAGTTTAATGTAACTAAAACTTTCTGAAACACTAGTCACATGCACTCAATTCTAGCCCTATGTGAAATTACCACCAATTCCTAAGTTCAGTAAATCCATGGGGATGCAGGAGAATTCAGATTGGTATTATGATTAATAATACCCCCAAAGTCAAAATTATCCCTGAAAACAGTTACAGGACCAAGGAGAAGCTAATCTAGTTTCTTGCCACTTTTTCTACCTCTTCTTTTTACAACACAATTGTTAGAAATTCAGGAAAGTATGGTAGCAGCAGCAGCAGTAACTCAGTTACCAGTTCAATAACAAACAAAGCTTAGTCAGTCAGAGAGATAATCTCCTTACTAGGCATAAAGAATTGATACGGCTCCAAAAACGCCTGTCAGGACAACCTCTCTAGCACAGCATCTGGCAGATTAAAGGGCTCAATGAATACTTGTTGAATATTCTGGGTTATGGCCCACTTGTGGGATTAAAGGGCCTCTGGAGGGCAGCCCCGGTGGCTCAGTGGTTTAGTGCTGCCTTCAGCCCAGGGTACGGTCCTGGAAACCCAGGATTCAGTCCATCAGGCTCCCTGCATGGAATGGAGCCTGCTTCTCCCTCTGCCTGTGTCAGTGTCCGCCCCTCCAGCACCCCCGTCTCTCATGAATAAATTAAATCGTTAAAAAAATAAAAAATAAAGAGCCTCTGGATAATACAAGAATGGAGATTTTTAAAAAGGGGGGGAGGGAACAGAGAATGGTAGCAAGAATAAAAAAAGAGAAAACAGAAGCATTTATAGGAAGCAGTGACAGTGCCTGTGTCAGGTTAATGGCATCTTAGACACCAAATTTACTTTAAATTCTCACAATGTTAGAAAACAGGAAAATAATTAAGCTGCTAACACTGGTTTTCATTTTCACTGAAAAAAAGCCAGTCTCTCTTTGCTTTCATAAGTACCTCTATCCTTATTATTCAGGTAAGAAAGAAAGTTCTTGGGGCAGCCCGGGTGGCTCAGCGGTTTAGCACCGCCTTCAGCCCAGGGCATGATCCTGGAGACCCGGGATTGAGTCCCACCACGTCAGGCTCCCTGAATGGAGCCTGCTTCTCCCCCTCTGCCTGTGCCTCTGCCGATCTCTAGGTCTCTCATGGTTAAATAAATAAAATGTTAAAAAAAAAAAAAAAAGAGGGACGCCAGGGTGGCTCAGCGGTTGAGGGTCTGCCTTCGGCCCAGGGCTGATCCCCAGGTCCTCGGATGGAGTCCCACATCAGGCTCCCTGCATGGTGCCTGCTTCTCCCTCTGCCTGTGTCTCTGCCTCTCTCTGTGTTTCTCATAAATAAATAAATAAAACCTTTAAAAAAATAAAAATAAAAATAAATTTAAAAAAAAAGAAGGTTCTTCAAACTCTCAGAAGCTACACAATGCCTCTTGAGTTAGAGTACAATCAATCTGTTAGGAAAAGGTAACTTATTATAGCAGTATTAAATAGAAAAATTATGTAAGTGGTATGTACATCACGATCAAGAATAAGCACCTAGGGATCCCTGGGTGGCGCAGCGGTTTGGCGCCTGCCTTTGGCCCGGGCACGATCCTGGAGACCCGGGGTTGAATCCCACGTCAGGCTCCCTGCATGGAGCCTGCTTCTCCCTCTGCCTGTGTCTCTGCCTCTCTGTCTCTCTCTGTGTGACTATCATGAATAAATAAATAAAATCTTAAAAAAAAAAAAATAAGCATCTAAATGAAATATCTGGTAGAACATAAAAGCTCTAAGAAACAAAAGGGATTTAAGTTTTTACATCTTTGTGAAAATCTCCATTAATTTCAAATACCAAGACTATGAATTTACAATGCCCATCATACATTGTATACAGAATACTCTGAATGATATATTTACAACGTTTATGTGTTCTAGCTCTAAAAAATGCCTACCTTATTATTTCCTGAAATCCTTTCTGTTTCATTTTCAATTTCTTGTCGAATTTCATCAAAATCCGTGTAAAGCTGAAAATTATTGAAACAAAAAAGCACAACACTCATAGTAAGATCAACAGTTCTTAAGCAAGGAGTCAATAAATTTCAAGGAGGCCCATGGATCTGCTTAAGAGAATTAGTAAATACTAATATACACATGTATTTGCTGAGCCAAGGAGTTTGATATGAGCTTTTCAAAGCTGCTTGATCCCACAACAATTAATTTCCAAATTACGGTAAGACTCAACTTAATGTGTTTTCCAAATAAACTGCTATAGTTAGACATGTTACCAAGATAATATTTATTTTACAAGGAGTAGTTGCTTCAAGTTAACATACTACATCACCAATGATAAGAAATGATCAACTATCTGTACAAAAAAAAATTTTCAACATGTTATTTCTTCATAATATTCTTGTGTGACTGATTACCTTATTTTTGGTGTGAAGAAATTTACCCCATTCTTCTGCTTCAACCCCTGGAAAAAGAAAAATTCCATTTATTGGAAACTATGGCAATTACCTTTTTATCTTAGGAATTCAAAAAGGCAACATAGTATCATTTGTTTCTTTTTGCCGCTGATAAACAGTATTTTAAGATCTACTAAATTATATTTTCGTATTTTAAAAACTGTATCCTATATTTCAAAAAGTGACTATTTTCAGAGTTACTCACAGGTCTTCCTTTTGAAATCTAGATCTGAAACCTAGATTCTACAAATAAAATTGTTCACTTCTCTTCATATTCTGTATGTAATTATATCATAGTAAAAATATATACTTTGTTTTTAAATATCTTACACATAAAGCAGTTTATATGAGGAAAGTAACTCAAGCAAATGGCTAAAAGAAGAAAAACTAAGAATCCTACTGAGTAATGCGAAAAGCACATATAATAGATTTCCACATGTAATTCAAGGTAAAAATTTGCAATATGTGAATGAAACAGATATTAAATCCATTTTGTTTTTAATTTGGTTTCCTACTGGTTACCTATAAGTCACAATTTATTGTTCCTTTAAAGAGCTCTCTCAGTAGTGCATTATGTAATTTATATGCACTTTCAAGGTGATTTCCCACCCCACACCCCGGGGCCAAGACTATGTTTTCCCTTGGAAGTGAAGGTTGGAAAGAAATGAAATGAATGTATGTTGGGGGGAGAGGGAGGCGGGTAGAGACAGACCTATCATAACTATTGTATGAAATCACTACTCTACATGAGTTTCCAGTAATAGGTCTGTCCTTCCTGCACTTGCTGGAAAAAAAGGAAAATATATTCACTGTAGCCACTGTTTTCAAGGGGTCTAAATCTTGGCGAGCACATTTTGTTCTAGTTTTCTCAGAGAAACTGGACATGTTTAATTGTAGAAAGATAACCTAATTCCCTTCCCTAAGCACAGCTATTCTGCTTTTGCCAAATTTAGAGTTTTAAATATCTTAACGACTGAGTTTATGAATAATGCATATCAGCCACTGAAATCAAAATAAAAATGACTAAAGATATTCAAATAAATATTGAAGAAAAGGTGATTTGATCTTTGGTGGAAATAAGGTAAATAAAACTGGATCCTTTTTGCAAGTAAAATGCTCACCTACTTGAAGCTTAGTACCTTCTTCCAAGAAGTCTCATTGGAGGACTGGAGTAATCTAGGTGAACAGAACTCAAAGAGGAGGTACTACATACCAAAGGGGTGTTTTAAATTTACCTTATCGTATAAAGGAGGCCTGGCTTAACAAGCATGTTTTTGAAAATAAAAATAAAATACATTCACCACCAAAAAAAGCCTGCATTCTGATGCAATGCCAAAAGGGAACAAGAACCACCTGCAATCAATCAATGTGGATAGGCAAATAAAAATGGAAGAAAAATAATGCACACAGCCTGTAAGAGTACATAGCACACATGCAGGCATACTAGAAAAAGAAGGGCCAAAAACAAATGGATAAAGGAAACCTTTAGAAAGGTGTCTTGAGTTTTTCCATGTAGCAGGGTCTGTAGTTAAAGAGAAACAGCACAGAATGATAAGTTTAATGCTTATCCCTAATATTTTAAACCTTTTTAAAAAATCAAATGTGTAGAAACCTGAACACATTTCAAATGCACAGAGCATTCAATTATTAAAAATTTACGACTATAATTCCCATTATAATTAATTATAATTAAAGGGATGTATAGATTTTAATGATATGAATAAAGCATACTATGTGTCATAATTTACTTATTTTCCATTACAACTAATTGTTTTACTTCTGGTTTCTAGTTCTAACACAACTGTATTAAAATTAATTCACTCTCCAAAAATTTGCCTTAAGTATTAATATATTTGATCTATGACTATGGGGAAAGAGAAATTGCCTGGTATAAAAAAAATCTACAAACCATACCAAACATATCTTTCAAAACCTTGAAAGTAAATATATACAAGTTTTTACCCTATTCATAAAAATTAAGATTTATAAGGGATTATTATATTCTTTGAAATATATACTCAATTTAAAAGAACACCATAAAAACAATTTTGGTTTTTAATCAGCATGCTATTTTTGGATTTCACCTAAAAAGAAATCTAAGGAAAGCTTGATTTATTTCTTTAAAATATATGAAAGATAATAATGAAGTTCAAATTTCAAATTACACCACCATCTTATTCTAAAACAGTGTGAATATGTTTTTAATAATGTTTTATCAGAAAAGGGCAGCCCGGGTGGCTCAAGCTGCCTTCAGCCCAGGGCATGATAAAGTCCCATGTCAAGGCTCTCTGAATGGAGCCTGCTTCTCCCTCTGCCTGTGTCTCTGCCTCTCTTTCTCTGTGTCTCTCATGAATAAATAAATAAAATCTTTAAAGAAAAAAAAAGATTTTATCAGAAAATTCTTTTTAACTGGCAAAAGGGGTGCAAGCTGAGAAATTCTACATATTGACAATTATTAATTATCCTAAATAGTTGGCAGAATGAAGGATTCCACATTGAATAAAATTTCCTGATAATTATACATATTAAACATTAAATACTTTATTTTAGTCTGTTTTGATGAACCCATATCTAAAATGGATTATACTACTTCATGTCATCCTAAAATATACTGCTCTTAAATTAACCTACTATTGATAACTTGGGCCTTTCTTACATAACAAAGCCCTCTGAGGTTATAAATCCCTATACAAAATGGTTAGAGACTGATTTTTTTCTTTTTTGAAAGTTCTTCCATCTGGTTATGTTTTCTTCCCTTTCTCCCCTCTAGTTGTCAGAATGTCAAGGAGCTCATACTCTTCTGGCTAACTAAATATTTATCTGCTTCATTGTTTCTGATTTTCTCTGACTTACAATGATTTATGAGATAGATTGTTTATCCTGAGGATAAAGAGGCTCTGATGAGAAACTGAAGAACTATGCTAGTTATTAATAGGACATACGAAATTTAATACTGAAAACTTATGAAATCTATTTTGTGTTCTCAGTAGCTGAGTTGTCATTTTAAGTGAGGTTTTATGTTTTTTACGTAAAATATAAGCACTAAGCTTTGAAAAAATATATATATATATATATCCGTTAAGATATGCAGATTTGCTGACCACCACCAAGAGGAGACACATCAACGAAACATAGTGAACATATAAGCAGAGATACTGAGGAATTGACACTTCCGTAGTTGGAATGTATAGTCTTTTCTAAAAACACTGCCCACCTCTGCAAATAGTTTCTGACATGCAGGATATCTATCATCTGCCCTTTTCATGGTGACTGAAGAAAATAAAAAGTTAAACAAAAGAGACCTAATTAATGCCATATAGTTTCTTAAAGTCTTAGTTTAAGGGATCTGATAACTAAGTTAGTGGGAATGAAATTTTAAGCGTTATTCTACATATATGAAGCTGAACCATAGGTTAGTACAAAATGATTAAATTCCAGGCTCAGAATTTCAATAATTAAGAAATATTACAGAAATGGAAAGTGATGAAAAATATACCCAGACACACTACCTAATATAATTAAGAGGCTCCTACCTATCCTCTGGCAGTCTATCCAAAAATACTACTTGTTAACATGTACAACTCCATTAACTTGCTTCAGTAATTAACTTTCTACATCATGATAGGTTTTTTTAATTTCCCTAAAAAAAATAAATAAATCAGGTCATCACCACCAATGCTCCTATAATAATGGAAAATAAGATACAAATTAAAGGAACTTCAATATCATTAATACTATCATCCTTTCTTAGATCAGAATCTAAGAAGTAGAATGAAACGGCACTAAAAACAGATCTCTACAGATAAGTAACAAACATGGTACTCTGCTGCAAAGTGATAATTAGAGCATTTTACACTTACATAAATAAGAAAGTCTGAGTCAAACACTGAACAAGGAAGATTAAATATATTTTCACCAAACATTTCAACTCCACTCATATAAATAGGACACATATTTACAAAGCAATTTAATATCTGTTTATAGACACAGCATTTCTCAAAATATTTTCAGTTTAACCAAAGAAGGACTACTATAAAGGACAGTACATATTTTCTTATCTTAATGTCCTACATTTACTATTGTAGGAGTGGGTGGATCTTAAAAATCAGAATAGTATGTGCTACGTAATGTAGGTAAGCCTTAGCAACAGGAAAAAAAATAAAAAATTAAAACTCTTTCTAAAAATAATATTTTATTAGCTTGAAGGGCAAAAGATTTCAAAATTATCAGGTACATGGTGAAACCAGAAAAGGGAAGGTGAGATAACACCGCTGTACTGAAAAGCAAGTCATTTTAATTGTATTTAAAATCTTTAAACTAGATATCTAAAATGATTACATTTCTAAATCAAAGTTAAAAAATAAAATTATTTTCAACACAAGTGAGAAAAGCTTATTAAAAACCTCCAAAAAATACAAAAACTTCTTTAAAATAACTGATTCCTATTATCAAGTATCTCACTAAATCCTCCATAAGTATTAATGACAGTATACTAATAAGCTGAATTATGAAAAAGGTACTATTCCAAACATGTCTACTCATGGTCCTCAAAACAAAACTTACTCTTTTTCCACAAGAGAAATGACGCATTCATTCCACTTCTCTTCACAGGACTTCTGCTTTTGTTATAGCCACTGATTTCTGTCTAATCAATTCATGTATTTTTTTAAGCAAATTTTTCAAGCAAATATGAAGAATTCTTAAATAGTTTTTATTCCAATTCTAAAATTTACCATTTTCTTCTCCTGTTGTTTTTCGCTTATCTTCGGGTGAAACATGGACTAGCTGCAGAATGAGAGGTCTCCGGGTGACAATACCAGTGCCTCTGGGAAGCAGGTCCCTCCCCACTAGGCTTTCTAGCACTGAGCTCTTTCCACTGCTCTGAAAACAGAATACACAGGAGCAAAATTAGTGTGTCCACAGACTTTTTTTTTTTTAAAAGATTTATTCATTTGGGAGAGAGAGAAACAAGCACGAGCATGGTTCAGCAGGAGAAGGGGCAGAGGGGAGGGAGAAAGAATCTCAATCAGACTCTCTGCTGAGTGCAGAGCCTAACACAGGGCTCACCCATGACCCTGAGACAACAACCTGAGTGGAAATCTGGACACTTAACCAACTGAACCACCCAGGCACCCCTCCACAGACTTTTTTGTAACTCAGTAAGACTATACTAAGAAAGCACCATACGAATAAATTAAAGGGAAAATTATTGCAAAGATGTTTAAAATCAAAGTTTAGTTACATTTTCTACTATGTGATCTTTGTATCTTTAGAATAAAAAAAACTCCCAAGAGAGAGTATCAAAAATCTCACTCCCCTGCAAAAATTTTTAAAATAAAAAATAAAGTCCCACTCCCCTATAACTTTCCCACCTTTTTTGATACTCTCTCAACCAGGTTTTCAAAGCCTGTATAATATTGGTACATAACATTAGGCCTATGAAAGTAATTACTTTAAATAGGGTAGTTTTATATGTATTTTTCTCTAACATGATTTTTAATGTAGCAAATGGATTATTTCATATCAATATAGTAATTTCTGTGTTTAATAGTTAAGTAGTATTCTATTATTTGTAAAGTCAAATCAAACACTGACTTGGACATTTAAATGGTTTTTGCTACTATTAACAATGCTGGGGAGCTCCTGGGGCGCCTGCTTCTCCCTCTGCCTGTGTCTCTGCCTCTCTCTGTATGTCTCTAAAGAATAAATAAATAGAATCTTTTAAAACAAAAACAGAAAAAAACAATGCTGCAGGGATCCCTGGGTGGCGCAGCAGTTTGGCGCCTGCCTTTGGCCCAGGGTGCGATCCTGGGGACCCGGGATCGACCCACATCGGGCTCCCAGTGCATGGAGCCTGCTTCTCCCTCTGCCTGTGTCTCTGTCTCTCTCTCTATCATGAATAAAAATTTCAAAAAAATTAAAAAATGTTAAAAAAAAACAATGCTGCAGTACATGTGCTTTATACATATAACCTTACTCATTTATCTTATTAGATTTATTTCATTAAATGAATGGCTGTGATTAAAGAGCATAGAGATCTTAAGCATTCACAGATACTGTCAGACTGCACACAAGGTGGCAGGATCCCATGTAATTTTACTATACTCCCCTTGTAATTTTCTGCAACCCCATCAGCACTGGGCATTATCGCTTTTTTGAACCTTTACTACTTTGATAGATGAACACACTGATAGCTCATTTAAATGTACATTTCTGCGGTGCCTAGGTGGCTCAGTCAGTTAAGCATCTGCCTTTGGATAAGGTCAAGATCCTGGGGTACTGGATCCTAGGGTCCACTCCCCTCACCCCCAACAGGCTCCATGCTCTGAAGGGAGTCTGCTTCCCCTGCCCCCTGCTCTTGGGCATGCACTCCCTCTCAAATAAATAAATAAAACCTAAAAAAAAATAAATAAATAGAAATAATTTTACATTTATTACTGAAGTCAAAGATCATTTTGTTTAAAGGCTTTTTATATTTTTCAGTGATTATTCAAATCCTGGCACTTTATGTTTCTTATTAGCTTACAAAGCTCTTTATCCATGTAAGAATTTCATTTTTTGTTGTATCTCCCAACTTTTCATTTTGAAAATTTCAAAGCCACAAGAGTTTTGAAAATATTAACAGTGAAATATTCGTTTCTTAACAAAGATGCACCAATTAACATTTGGACATATGTGCTTTATGTCTGTTCTTAAACACACACACTTCTTTTTTTTTCTGTTCTACTTGAGAATTAATTATATATATCATGATGCTTCATCCCTAAATATTGTAGTGTATCTGTCTCTAAGAAGATCCATAAGGGCATTCTTCTATACAACCATATTCAATGATCATACTCCGGAAACTAAGCATAAATAGAATACTAAAAAACAGTAGATTATCAAATAATATATAAATCCCTAACCTATACATCTTAAATGTTTATAATTTTCTTTAGTTCATAGTAAGTATTTTCTGCACATTTTCTCTGTGCTATACTTCTTAGTCAAAACTAGTATGACTATTACTTTCATATTTTCTACAAAGGCAAAAATCCTAAATTCATCTATTGAATCAGAAAGAGTCTACAGAAAGCAGATGGTCCACTCAAGTTAGGTTAATTTAAGAAGGGTTTATTTATGAGCAGACTGTTTACAAAACTGTGAATAAGGCTCTCGGAAATCACAAGGGATAGTACTATAACCCAGACTAATAACAACAAAGAAGCTGTTACCACCTAAAGGCCCTGAAGACTAGAACTTTGAAAAGAGGGAGAGCCAGCCCAAGGAAACCACATACAGAGCCTGAGCCACAGGAATAAATATCCAGGGCTCCCCATTTCCAAATCCAATCTGATGCCAGAGGACATGGAGTCCCATTCATGTTGTCCAGAAAGGTCTCATCTCAGAAAGAACAGGAATGTTGACTGGAATGGTCAAATTGAAGATTACATGTCACACTTGGTATTGCCAGATTTTAGGGTCTCAGTTTATTCCTCTCATTAAGAAAAATAAAGTGATTTCCATCATTTCTGTACTCACTCTGAGCAAAATGGAAATTTCCTGTTCTTTAATTTATGCATTTTGATAGAACCTGTCTGTTAAACAAAATGAACCGTCTAACTCCTTGCATTTTCAAATTTACAGGCATAACTGCTTATAATATTCTTAGGATAGTTTATTTTTATTTTAATATTTTGTCTTTGTAGTTTCTTATAATCAGATTTTCCAGTTGATTATTAAATTGATTTTATTGGTCAAATCTTTTACTGATTTCATCTTGTAGTCATCTTTCTAATACTGTTCATTTCTACTTCTTAGCACCCCCCCCCGATAAAAGGAGTTATTTATCTTTTCTTTTCTTTAAAAACTCCTGAAGTTAAACATTTAGCTTATTTCTCTATCTCAGCTACCAATATTTGCCTCATCCATCCCATACACACATATATACATTTCTCAAACTGAGTTGTCTCTATCTTTTCTTCTACACCAAGAATGTTTATTCTAACAATTGTGTATTCTAATTCACAATTATTTGGTTAGCCTCCAAATATTACCAATACTACCACTACCAATAAGATAGCTGAGAATAATTTTTTATATATTTTGCAAATGATATCTCCATTCTTTCCCACCTCTTTACAGACCATGTTTTCCCCTTTTTTTTAACCATCATTTGGCTCTGCAAGTATGTGTCATGCTAACATCAGTCCTTACATTAATGCCTTTAGTCATTTTGATTCTCTGAAGTTGTTCTCTAATAGATTCCTCAGAAAGGGCTAATATTCTTCAAATCCTAGCATACATGTAAGTTTGTGACTTTTCTACCTGAAAATCAGCTGGATTACATAAAGCTTGGGCCCATATACTCTTCAATATCTTACGTATAAAATTCCACAATGAATTGTATCTTCCTTCATAAATTTTATGAACATATCTTTTCTCATGAATGGTTACTGTTGAAAGGTTATGACAATAATCTGGTTTTCCAAGAGACTTTGTGACTTCTGCCTGCACATCTAAGGACTTTTTATTTTTCCTTTAAAGTCCAATAATTTTACTAGACTATGCTTGTCTCAGGGTTGGTCTTTCTGTGTCAATGCCCTCAGGTATGTGATGTGCTTTTTCAAAATGAAATCCCAGGGATGCGTGGGTGGCTCAGTAGTTGCGCATCTGCCTTTGGCTCAGGTCATGATCCCAGGGCGCTGGGATAGAGTTCTGCATCAGGTGCCCTGCAGGAAGCCTGCTTCTCCCTCTGCCTATGTCTCTGCCTCACTCTGTGTGTCTCTCATGAATAGATAGTCTTTTTAAAAAATGGAATTCCAAATGTGTTTTTAATTCAGTTAAATTTTTAGTAACTGTTTGTTACTTTACTATCTTTTTTTCTTCTTTGAAGGACTCCCATTATACACATGTTGGATCTTCTTTACCTGTATTCAATATGTAGCTTCTTTTCTTTCTTTCTTTTTAAGATTTTATTTATTTATTCATGAGAGACGCACACACAGAGAGAGAGGCAGAGACACAGGCAGTGGGAGAAGCAGGTTCCATGCAGGGAGCCTGATGTGGGACTCGATCCTGGGTCTCCAGGACCAGGCCCTGGGCTGAAGGTGGTGCTAAACTGCTGAGCTACCCAGGCTGCCCTGTTAGCTTCTTTCAAATTCTTTTTATAACTCTATCTAACCCTTATTCTTAACATCCTGTTCCTTTTCATCTTCCTCTCTTATGGTCTGTCTTTTTTTTTCTTGCTCTTGTATTCCTTCCATTTTCTTCACTTCCAAAATTTTCTTCATTTCTATTATTTTATTAATAAATTCTATCACCTAGGTTTTTTCTTTTATGCAAACTTGTTTTTTAATGCCTTGTTGTGATTATAATGTCTTGTCTTGCCTTTAGTCTTAATATCTAATTATTTTCATCTGGATATGTCTTCCTGGTGTCCTTTCTTGTCTACAAGGCTATTCTGAGCCTCATTCTTCTTTAAATACTTTGTGAGATTTCACATTAATTTTTATCAGGATCTTCTCTTCCTTTGTCTGTATTCTTCAAGGGAAGCTCAGTTATATTCTCAGTTCCATTGCACTGTGAGAATTGGTCCTGGAAAGAAGCTTTGGATAGTTTTCAAAGTTTCACAAAGGTGCACTAGTCCATTAAGACTTCACCACAGGGATCCCTGGGTGGCGCAGCGGTTTGGCGCCTGCCTTTGGCCCAGGACATGATCCTGGAGACCCGGGATCGAATCCCACGTCGGGCTCCCGGTGCATGGAGCCTGCTTCTCCCTCTGCCTGTGTCTCTGCCTCTCTCTCTCTCTCTGTGACTATCATAAATAAATAAAAATCAATAAAAAAATTAAAAAAAAAAAAAAAAAGACTTCACCACAGACTCTCTCACTCATCCAT